AGAAGGGCATTCAGGTGGGATCTTAACAGGTGAGTAGGCAGGTGGGCAGGTGGAGCACATCTTAGGCAGAGGGAACGTGTACTGAGCAAGCACAAATTCTGGGGCTGGAATGCCTGGGTTTAAACCCTGATCTTGGACAAGCGACTTCATGTCTCTGGGCCTCAGTTTCCCCATCTGTAAAATGTGGATAATTATAGTATTTACCTCTTGAAACTTGGGAGGATTAAGGGAGACAATACAGGAAAAGCCCGTACCACAGTGTGGCACACAATAGGTGCTCGGTAAATGCCAGTTATTATTTTTATATCGGTAAAGATACACAAGTGCGCAGCCCAGTCTAGTGTCCTGAAAGGGGACAATGAGGTCAGCAGGGGACGGATGACACAGGACCCAGGGTGCCAGGGTAAGGGCTCAAAGGCCACAGGGAGCCATTGGAGGCTTTAGCTGGAAAATGACCCATCAAACTCATGTTTTAGAATAAGTGGCTCTGGCTGCTGCGTGGAGGTGACTAATGGACAGGAGACCCTACGAGAAGACTGGAGTCAGGTGTGGGTGACAGACGACAGAGCCTGGGGTGGGACCCGCAGGTCAACAGTTGGCAAGAGGTACTGACCAGACAGGGAGGGAATTGAGTCTGGAGGAAAGAAGAGCTGAGGGGGGCTCAGGATGCTGGTTCACTGGCTGTGGGAGCCTGGGCAACTGACTGTACTTCTCTGGGTGTCAGTTTCTCATCTATAAATGGCGACAACGACCCTCACAGGGGGTCATGAGGATTAGATGAGATCAAACGTGTACAGTGCGTAGAAGGGTGCAAGGCATGTGGTAAGAGCTCAGTAATGATCAGCTGTTATTATACTTATTATTAATGACTCTGAGGATTGTCACTATTATTTTTTCCTCAACAAATATTGATTGAGCACCTACTATGTGTCCTATGGTGCTCTAAAGTGAACAAGATCAATATGGGCCCAACATTCAGGAAGCATACAGGAGGTGGGAAGTGGGGAGAAAGACACTTAGGTAGTAAAAAATTAAATTCACATGAAAATCCCAGACAGTGGTAAGTTATCTACAGATCAGAAGAAGTCAGAGGAAGCAACCCAGTGGGGTGGGGGGGAGCAGGTATGGGGATGAGCTGGTGGCTTCGACTTTGGAGAGACCAAGGCTCAGGGGGGAGGGCTCCTGGGAGGCACCTAGTCCTACCTCTCTCCTGACCCAGCCGTGGAGGCTGAGCTTCCTCTGGGACCCCTTCCGTTGGTCCGGCAGGTGACGCAGGGCGGCTGGGTTGGGGAGTGCCACCAGGACTGGGCTCGGTACCCTTTTGCAGGGAGCCTTCCGAATGGAAACTCTGGTTACTGTTCTCATCTGTGGGAACAAATGTTGAAAGGGTTGGGCCTGAGGCCTGCAGTCCCCTCCCTCAATCCCACCCCTCTCCCCCAAATCCCAGGATCCCTACCTACCATTGAGATCCAGTAGGATGAGAGGACCCCCTCCTCGGGGACTGGCGCCCCTGCCCCGCCGCTCCCGGCCTCGGGATCTCTCTGCCCCGCCACCTGCCCTCCGTCGTTCCTGGGGATTGGAGAGGTAAGGCTCAGAGCCAGCTTCCTAGTTACCACTTGCAAAGCCCCATTCTACAAACAAGTAAACTGAGGCACAGAGGAGCAAAAGGCCCTGTATGAGAGGATAGAGGCGGTGCACGCTGGGGTAGGTCTTGAACTCCAGGGTCCAGCCAGAGCAGGAAAAAGGGAGAGGGAGCAGAGGTGCCATAATTGTTAACATCTGTCTGGGCCACTGCATTGGAGGTCTCAGAGTGCCGGCTGGAGGTGGAGACCAGGATGGGGAGCGGCTGGCCTGAGGTTGCACAGATGCAGGGTCTGGGGTGGAGGAGTTTGCTCACCTCCTCCTGGGGGTCCACCACTGGCACCCACTTGAAGATACGAAGGGAAGTGTCGCCCACAGTCACCCAGCGCTTCTCCCTGTGGGAGAGTGGGGGGACTGGGTCAGAAAGGCAAGAGGACAGAGCCCCCCAGCAGCTGGACACATCTGAGGATACCTGCAGAGATCTAGGTGGTGCATGTGGGAAGGGGAAGTTCTGCTAATGGGGCATAGTTAGCGGGAGAAAGAGAGCCCTGCAGACCCTGGGGGCATACATGCGGGTGCTTCTAGTAACAGTATGGGTTGGGGCCACGGCTCGCAGACCCCTGGGCTATACGTGGGGCTCACAGGTATGGGCCTGGCTGGGAATGAGGGCATACTTGCGGGAGGAGTATCAAAGCTTTAGGTGGCGGCGCTCCCGCTCGGAGAGGGCAAGGCTGGGGAACAAGCTTTGTAGACCCCAGGGTGTAGCCAGGAGAAAGTGCACAGAGCCCTGCAGATTCAGGGCGTAGGTTTGGGGAGAGCACACATAACACCTAGGGCCACAGCTGGCAAGGGGGGGCAGACGCCTTTGGAGGAGGAGTGGCCCCGCCATGTCCCGTCCCTGACCCCGGGACAGCGCTCACCATCTCCGGACCTTCTCGATGGTCGCCATCACCTTCTTGATGTCATCCTTGGCCCGGCTCCGGGTCTCGGCCCGCACGGTCCGGCCGGCCATGCTGGCGGCGCTGGGGCCGAGGCCGAGCCCGCGGCTGGGCCGCCTCCCGTCCGGCGGCCTCAGGCTCGGCACCAGGCCCGGGCGCCGCTCTCTCTGCCTGCTGTCCCTCGGGGAGTTGGCCGCGCCCTCCTTCGCTCCCCAACGCCTCCGCGAGTCCCCGCCCCGCTTCCTGCCGCCGCGCCCCGCCCCGGCCAGTCTCCGGAGCGGGCCGGCGGCGCGGACGTCATGAGTCCGGGCCTGGCAGCCGGCCGGCCCCGCCCCGCCCCGCCCCGCCCCCACGGGGCGTCTGGACGCGCAGCGCCCCCTGTCGGCCGCCCATAGGGAGGTTGGGGGCAGCTCCGCGACTGGACTCGCGCAGCCAGGCGGAGGGGTGCGTTCAGACCACGTCGGCGCCTGGGGCGCTAGAGGGCTGGTGTCCCGGTGTGAGTCCGCTGCGCGTGGGCGTCCCTGAAACGCCGTGTGCGTTTGGGCGTGTGTCCACCCCAGCCAGACCGCCCAGTTGTACATTGTCCAACTATCCCTTTAGCCATTCATTCAACAATCTATTAACTGAGTGCCAAGTACGTGCCAGACACTGCATATGAGTGGGTCTCCACCCACCAGAATGGCTAAAATGACAATGACGGACCATCCGAAGGGTAAGCGAAGACGTAAAGAAACTTGGGCTTCTCATATTCCTGGGGAAGAATAAATTGGTAGAGACGCTCTGGAAAACGCAGTTTTCTAGTGAAGCCCAACATACACCCCAATTCTATGACCCAGCAATGCCACTCCTAGGTCAGCAACACCCAACAGAAATGCGTGGGTAGGTTCATAGCACCATTTTATAATAGCCTCAACCTGGAAAGAGCCCATCAAAGGAGAGCGGACAACGAGCCTCTTACTCCCTTGGAGCAAGCAGCAAGTAGCAAGGAGGAGGATGTCCTGCTACACCAACCACGGGGACAAGTCTCACCAAAGAATCCAGATACACCAGTACATGTTGTATGATTCCGTTTATCAGAAGTTCCAATCAGACAAAGCCAATGTATGGTGTGAGTAGTCAGGTAGCGGTCATCCTCGGGATTGAGAGAGGCTCCAAGGCAACTCTGGTAACTGTTTCTTAACCTAGGGCTTGTTCCCTGCATATATTTACTCTGTGAAAATTCATGGAGCTGTGCAGTTAGGATGTGTGCACGTTTCCCTACGTACAGTATTCTTCGAGTAGAAGTGTACTTCAGATGAGCACGTCTTGGTTCGTTTTATTTGAGGCTGTGTTTGCCAGCAGATAGGATGCGTCTAGATTTATGGGACTATTATGCAGTGTATTTGGTGTGATTATGTCCACAGGGGTTAAAGTATAGGAAGATGGTTATGACAGCATTCCTGGAGCAAAACTGCTGGGGTAAAATCCCACCTGCTTGTCCAATTACCCTGGAGAAGTCACTTGTCCTCAGCTGTCACACAGAAGTGACTTAATAAGTGGATAGCTCTTAGAACAGCGTCTCACACATAGTAAATACCCAATAAATATTCGCTGTTAATAAGTGTGTGATCGTGGTCCCTGTGGACAGCCTGGCTTCACTGCACCTGCGGTGCCCTCTCCTTTTATTCTGGCCACATCCTCACAGACACACAGGCCTCCTTCCCAGGCCCTTCACTTACAATACAAGCCCCATTGCCTGCTGTTGTCTCTGGCCTCCCCCAGCAGACTGTGACATCCTCAGAGGACCAGAGACCAAGTATGGATCACCTCAATCCCAGGGCCCAGTACAGCATGGGCGTTTGTCTGCACCAGGTTAGCGGGGTTGGTGTGCCTGACCTCCTGTACCTGTCTCTGAAGCTTATTCCTGTGTAAGAATGAAAGTCTATATGTCACAGAGGTGGGTATGCAAGAGGGGTTTTCTTACTGAGCCTGGTAAGGTGAGGGAAGCTGGTGTATCTGTCCCCCTCCTAGTAGATGTGACAATGAGGCCAAGAGCACAAGGCCAGGAGTGTATGTCTGTGCTGGCATGGCCCTCCACCGGCCTCTCTCACACCCCGCTCTACCCCCTGCTCCCCAGCCAGGAGGGAGGAGAGCACATTCCATTCGGGCCACTTCCACCCTCTCCTATCTACCCAACTTTCTCCGAAAAGCAGCCCGAGCACCAAGCCTTGCCCCAGATCAGAGCCTGAGCCTTCTCCCGGCGGGAGGCAATTCTGCCTCCCAGGCCCAGACGCCCCCAGCATCGAGTTCCCGAGTCCACCATGCAGACAACCTGTCGCCCTCCTCAGGCCTCTTTCTGGACTAGGCGGTGCGGGCAGGGAGCTGAGCTCAGGAACAAGGAATCTTGCCTGGGGCCGGGGCAGGGTGTGGGGGGGGGGTTGTTTGGGGTCTGAGCCCTGATTGGCTGCGCCCGGGCCACGCCCCTACCCTTTTCCCCCTTCTCCCTCTCCAAAGGGGGGTGTGGAGGCAAACGGGATCAAGCAGGGGCCAGCATGAGCCGGAGGGAGGGAAGTCTGGGTAAGGGGCTGAAGGGCCTATGCCGAGTGCCCAAGGGGAGCGGGGGTCAGAAGGGCTGGAAGCTGGGATCTGGGTCCCCACCGCCCCTGGGTCCGGGAAGGGAGTGTCTTGAGCGGAGGAGAGCAGGGCCCTGGTGTCAGGTAACAAGCGGTGAGCTGTGGGAAGGTTGTAGTGCCAGAGTTGAGAGGAGGCCTGGGGCTGTGCTTTCAGGGACGTGGGCTCCGGGGTTAGATCGCTGGTTCGAGTACACCATGGGGGAGGGCTGGGGTTGTGGCTGAGGCTGGACGCCTGGACCCTCCTTTAGTATTGATAAAGAATCGGACCTGGGGGCCACAGGGAGGGTTAGAGTTAGGGTAGGAAGTCTTTGGGTCACAGGAGCTAGAGAGTGACAACTGGAAACGAAAGTCGAGGCTGTTGAGGATAGGGATAGGCGATGGGAAACTCGGGGAGGGGGGTGGGGGGCACGGGGCAGGGTGGTAGTTGCGGGGCCTTGACTACATTCCCCAGCATGCCCTGGGCACTGCGCGGGCGTCTCAGAAAATGTAGTCCTCCCAGGGTGCCACCCTCTAGCTTGAGCTGGCAAAGCGGGGCGCTGATTCATTCATTGATACTGCTGGGTACCCAGCCCAGCGCCTTGCACAGAAGGGCCATTAGGAAGGGAATGGAACTTCAGTCTCCCAATCTGTAAAATGGGCTGAAAGGCGCATTCCGCTGTGAAGTTCTGTGCCTCAGAGTTGTTGAATTCCACCCACAGTTCATTGAGGTACAGAGATATGTGCACCCTCCTCTCAAAGGGCTCCCAGGCGGAGGCCAATTCACACAGGTAGAAGAGCCACTAAAAGAACCACCTTGGAAGTATGAACAAATGGCCTTCAGTAGAAGGAAGGAGTTAATTTCAGGGAGAGGTGATTCCCAGGCTGCACTGAGGAAACAATATTTGAATTTGGTTTCAATAGGATTTCAACAGTGATTCGGGGACAGGGAACACATTTGCGTTAGAATAACCGTTTGGCAAATGTCTGATGCCTCATTTTCCCTCCGTTAGAATGGGACAGAGCCTGCCTGGCTTACAAGTTGCAAAATTCAGAGCTGAGCTTCTAGGTTCGGGAAGGAAGAGCCAGCCTGAACGCAGTGGTCAAGGAGTAGGGGTTTGGGCTGCCCTCATTCCTCCCCCCCTTTTCCCACCAGAAGACCCCCAGGCTGACTCCTCAATCTCACCCCTTCCTCACTTGGAGGCCAAGATCCTGCAGACACACAGCCTTGCCCGCCTCCTCACCAAATATGCTGAGCAGCTGCTCCAGGAATATGTGAGTAGAGATGGGTGTGGAGGTGCCAGGGACCTTGGGAACCCAGAAGTACAGGTCACTCATTTTCTCAACCTCGTTTCCCAGCTGCAGAAATTGGGGCTCCTGAGAGAGATCAGTAACTTGCCCCTGGCCACAAATTGGAGGAGAACCATCTCTGTGCCTCAAATGTCCTTCCAGCCACCTCAGCTTGGAGGCTCCCTCCCTGGTGCTTTAAGACAGAGGCAACCTGAGAGCGAAGCGAACTCTGGCCTGGGAGTCAGGAAACTTGGGTTCTAGGCTCTGTGTGACCTGTCACCACCTCACCTCCATGGGCCTTGGTCTCCCCAGCTGTAAAAGGATGAGCTGTGAGCTCTTCTACTTGTGCTATGCAGAGAGACCAAGAAAGGGTTTCAATCTGGAGGCAAACATTCCATCAAAGGAGGGCAAATCTGCCAACATCTTTGGTTGGGCAGAAGGCCCTGCCCAAGGCAAGAAGGTATTTCCCCAAATGATTCTGGCGTAGTGGAGGGAGGATACAGTTTTGAATTAGACAGACTGCCACCTTGCTATGACCTTGGGCAGGTCACATGATAACCTTCAAATAAGGATGTAACCATTTTGACAGTAGGTAGTGGGATAATAGAACCACCTTTGTTGTCCTACCAACTTTGGTTCAAATTCCAGCTCTGCCCCTTCCTAGATGGAGGACCTACAGCAAGTCACTCTACCTCTTCAACCCCACATCCTCACTTACAAAATCATCACCATCATTATTATCACACCCATTATTGGGAAGATGAGGGATAGATAGTATGTTAGAGCAGCAAGCACAGTGCCTGAACCTGAGGCAAGATGTTAGCAAAGAATAAGTGGTATCGTCAGAGCAGTTTGACACATTACAGATCACCTTTAACTTTCATTTCTTTATTCAGATGAAAATTATTCATGGAGCCCCTGCTGGGTGCCAGGCAGATGCAGAGGTGGGGAGCAGGAGGGGAGGGGAGGGAAACAGACTTGGTCCCTGCACTATCCATGTGATTCTCAGGAGACCCCTGGTAGGAAGACAGGGCAGGGAGCTTTTCCCCCATTTTACAGGTGAGAAGACTGAGGCTCAGAGAAGGAAAATGGTTTTGTGGGAAACCGAACAGCTAGTATATGGTGGAGACAGGATTTGCACGCCGGTGTGTAAGATAGTATTAATAAAAGAGCTAACATTTATTGCACCCTTCCAATGGGCCAGGACCTGCCGTAAGCATTTTAACATGCTCCTAACTGCCTTATGAAGTTGATAGTGTTATTACCTCCATTTGGGAAACGAGGAAACGAAGGCACTGGTGTAGAGCCCACTTTTTTGTTGTTGTTCATTATCTCAAACACAGCAGCTCTGTGAGGAGGGATTTATCGTTTGCGAGATGGGGAAACTGAGGCCTCAGGAGAGGGGAGGAGTTCTGGGAGCCCCTCTGACGGCCCTGTCTCCGCAGGTGCAGCACCAGGGAGACCCCTTCGGGCTCCCCGGCTTCTTGCCTCCGCGGTTGCCAGTGGCCGGCCTGAGCGCCCCGGCCCCGGGCCACGCGGGCCTGCCGGTGGTGGAGCAGCTACAGCTGGACGCGGGGGCGCTGGCCGCGCTGCCGCCGCTGCTTGACGTGGTGCGCCGCCGGCAGGCCGAGCTGAACCCGCGAGCGCCGCGCCTGCTGCGGCGCCTGGAGGACGCGGCGCGCCAGGCCCGGGCCCTGGGCGCCGCCGTGGAGGCCGTACTGGCTGCACTGGGCGCCGAGCCCCGTGGGCCCTGGCTCCAGCCCGCCGCCGCCGCCGCCGCTGGCGTCTTCCCGGCCAAGGTGCTGGGGCTCCGCGTGTGCGGCCTCTACCACGAGTGGGTGAGCCGCACCGAGGCCGACCTGGGACAGCTGGTGCCCGGGGGCCCGGCCTAAGAGCGGGTGGGCTACCGCTCACTGTCACCTCCTGGTCTTTCTCCTTCTCTGTTAGTGTCTGTATGAGCTTGGACTGGCTCCATCTCTCTGTCCCTGCCGTCCCTATTTGCTTTGCACGCGCTCATCCTCTTTCTCTCTCGGGACCTTCTTGTTTCTGTATGTGACGTTCCATGTCCATCACGTGCTTGCTTTCCCACTCTTTTCTCCATTACTTGGGCCGGCCTCAGTCTCTCATGGCCTCCCTCTGGGGGTCACTTTATCTCTCCTTTTTCCTTTTCTTTATCTCCTCTTGGCCCCATGTGAGCATGTGTACATCTCAGCTCATCTCAAGGAGGGGACACCTTGTCACTATTTCCCTCTGTACCTTCCCTGTCATTTTCTGCTGGCCCTAGAGTGAGGAGGCCACTCTAGACAAATGTCAGCCTCCTTCCCCTAGGGTCACTCCACCTGCTACCCTCCTCTTTCTGGTTCCATCCCATCCCTTGGGGCCTTGAGCCCTGCCCATCCCCCTTTGACGCCCTTCCCCACCATCACTTCCCTCTGCTCTATTCTTGCACTCCCCCCAACCCCCACGCCCCACCCCTGCCCCCAATGCCAGGTCTGTGGAGAGAAACAATCAACACCTTAAAAGAGTTTTATTTCTGAGACTAAGTTAATTTTTTTTGTAAATAAAATGTCAAAAAAATAAATAAAAAGAACACCCAAGTTACCAGTATATGTAGTTGTTGAAAATGAAGATACACCTTTGAGGAGAATAGGATCCTTGGGGTACAGCCATCTGTCAGCCCAGAACAGGAAGTGGATGTGTCCTGAGCAGGAAACAGATGTGACATGAATCGTTAGTTTTTCAATAATTGGACTTCCATTGATCAGGAAGAGAAGTGAAGCCCCTGAAGATGGGAAGTTAGAACAGTGGCCACAGTCGGAGAAGTGCATTCGGGAAGGAAATGAACTCCAGCAAGAAGGGAGGCTGAGGGGCCAGCCAAGTGACAAAGTTGGTTAAGAGTTAGCTTAAGAGCGTGAGCTCTGAGCAACAGGGCCACCGGTTCAATTCCCACATGGGCCAGTGAAGCTGTGCCTGAGCTGAGCGGCCACTGAGCTGCGAACAGGTGGCAGGATGGCTCAGCTGGTGAGAGCACGTGCTCCTAACAGCAAGACTGCCTGTTCGATTGTGGGCTATGCCCACCCGCAACTAAAGACTGAACTCGGCACCTTGAGCTGAGCTGCCGCCTGGATGGCTTAGTGGATACAGCGTGCGCTCTTAACATTAAGGCTGCTGGTTCAACTCCCACATGGAATGGTGGCTACGCCCACCCACAACTAAGATTGTAACACAGCACCTTAAGCTTAGAGGCCACAAGCTGCCAATGGGCAGCGAGATAGTGACTGGCACCCTCCACAACTAAGACTGAAGAACAACAACTTGGCTGGTCCCTCTCCCCAATTCCCCAACACTATTCCCCTCCCCCAATTCCCCAATTAAAAAAAAAAAAAAGACTGTGTGGCAGAAATAATGTTTATATTAAAATCTGGGATTTGTTCAGTGTTTAAAAAAAAAAGAAAAAAAAGGGAGGCCAATTTGTTCCAATGTTCATATCTTCATAGAGAAGGTGAGGTAGACCAGAAGGCAGCCTCTGGACCCTCCCAAAGTCCTAGGCAGAGCCCAGGAAGGAGCAAGGCCTCTTTAAAGAGCAAGGCCTTTCTCCACCCAGGAAGTGGGCACCCAGTACCACTGGACAGGTAATCCATGAAATGATATCCATGGAGTCCCACCCAGACCTGGAAGGGAGGCCTGGTTCCCAGGAAGTGTTCCCAATCCATGGCACATGAGGCATCCTGTCTGCTAAACAAGCAGTCTTTTTTTTTTTTTTTTAAAGATTTTTATTGGGGAATTGGGGGGATGGGAACAGTGCTGGGGGATTGGGGAAGGGGAACAGATAAGTTGCTGTCGTTTTGT